GACAGGGAGGTAAGGCCTGGGGCATTGTTTCGCCTCCACAGGCACAGAGTCTTGTGATGACTATGGTTGGAACCTGAAGAGAGTGAGACTGGACGACAGACCAGCTGAGGGCAGATGAGCGCAGCTGGGACAGGGTCTTGGGCTGGGCTGGGGGGTGGGGGCTGGGCTTGGAATGAGAGGAGTAGAGAGAGGAAGGGGTGAGTGGTGCAGGGTCAGCACGTGGGACACTGTGGAGGACGAGGTCTCTGGGCATCTGAGCCCACATGATGTCTGGGTGCTGACATGGGAACAGGGATCAGGGCCATGTGGGGGGACAGAAAGCAGTACTGGGACCGCCTGTAGCAGCGGGTCCCGCAGAGGCCTGGGGAAGCACTGTGTGCTGGGTGGCACAAGGGGAACACGATGAGGTGCCGAAGGCCTGGGGCCGAGGTGGTGGCGTGGCGTGGGGTGGGGGTCACGGTCGGGCACGTGAGGGAGTTGTAACCCTGCAGGGCTGGGCAATGGAGAGGGAAGGAGTGTGAGCATGGACTCAGGGCCCTTGTCCCCATGCTTTACTCCAGGGGGCTGAGCACAAGTGTCATTGTATGTGGGGTGGTCTGTGTGATCTCAGGAGAGTGGACTCTGAGGAGAGTGGCTGGGGGTCTGTGTGGCAGCCCCAAAGCATCTGTAAGACTACCTGTCTCCCTCTCTGTTTTAACTGAATGACATATTAGCAGGTTCCTGTGGCATCAGGACCTGGTGTGTCCTCTGAGCTGGGTCACTGGGGTGGACGACCATGTACTGGGGGTCCTGGTTGCAGAGGCTGCTGTGAACTCACTTGTCCCCCTCATGACAGGGCCATGTGATCTTTGAGGATGTGGCTGTGTCCTTCTCGCAGGAGGAGTGGGGTCTCCTTAACGATGCTCAGAGACTCCTGTACTGTGACGTGATGCTGGAGAACCTGTCACTTATAGCCTCCCTGGGTAAGGACCACTGTTCCCACACCATTGCCCCGTATGGGACTCTGCCTTTCGTTTTGCATGGCTCACTCCATCCTTCCCAGCCTGGACTTTGGACACTGCTTACTTCCCTGATTTCCTGGCACTTGAGCTGCATTCCTCCACCCTGTGTGTGTTCAGCCCTGTACCATAGGCCCTGAAGCCTTTCACAGAAGCCTTTGGTCTCAGAGGCTTGAAGCCTGTCCAGCTGCTGCCACTTAGCTTTGCCACTGCTAGGTGTGTTGACTGTTCAGATGTGTGCAAGATCCGTGTCACACGTTCTAACTCTTTTTTTGCACTGTGTCAGGAATTACAGCCACTTACATGGTCAGCATTTGTGGTCAACCCTAGATTATTTTTGCAAGACTCCTTAAGGTTCTTCTAGTGATATATTTTTTTCCTTAAGTCTGTCATTGGTTGGTTCACTCTGGGCCAGTGTCTTTCTCCTAATGGCTCTATTTTCCTCTGAGGACTTTGATCTGGTAGGGCTCATAGTCACCCAGCCTGAGCTGAGAGGTGGAGGCAACCCTGGGTGCCTGACGAGGTAGGCCCCTCTCTAGTCATAGGACGAGGGTTAATTGCATCCTGAGCCTGGTGAGCAGGAGCTGTAGGAAGGCATGATATCATTGATGAGTTCTAGTCCTACAGGGAAATGTCCTTTGCTCTCTCCTCTTTCAACGTTATGACTCATTATGCTCATACTTCATTTCTTTCTTCCACTTCTCCCCATTTTGACACTGTGCCCAGTTTTCATTTCTACTGTGATTTCTGACTCCTGTTTTCCACCTTAGTGTCCTCCACACCTCTCCTTTCCCCCTGTCTGCACTGTTCTCCAATTTTGTATATTGTATATGCATATCCTTAATGTATCATGAGAGGTACATGTTTACTTATATTGTCTTTGAACACTAATAGTCAGGTGTAATTGCATTTTCCTGGATTGAGAAACACATTCTACAGAGCTGACACTTGTCACCACCAGAAAGTCCTGAT